TGGATTACACTGTGAAGTATTTGGAACTAGAACTGGATTGGTCAATGGCAAAGCTCTGTAAATCAATAAGACACCAGTCTTAGGTTTTCACAGACCTAGATGTATGAGCTCTTGAAGAAGTTTGCAGCAGAAAGCAAATCTCTCTCTCAGTATGTAAGAGACAAACCTTAAAGTAACACTTACTAAAAGTACTCTCTTTCAGTGAATTAGTTCTGAACTGAGCCCTGAAGACGGGTCACTGGACTTGAAACGTTAACTCTGCTTTCTCTCCACCTACTGATCCATCAATTTCGGTTATTGTTCCAGATTTCCAGTATCCGTAGTTGATTATTGTATTTTAGTGTTTAACTTTAGCGTTAGGGTGGCATGGTGACTCAGTGGTTAGCACTGTTGCCTCACAGCGCTAGGGACTTGCGTTCAATTCCAGCCTCAGACGACTGTCTGTGTGGAATCTAAACATTCTCCCTGTGTTTGCTTGGATTTCCTCCAAAGATGTGTAGGTTTGGTGCACTGGCCATGCTAATCTGCCACAGTGTCCAGGGATGTGCAAGCTAGGTGTGTTAGTCATGGAAAATGCAGGATCACAGGGAGCGGGTGGGAGGGGGTGCTTTTTGGAGGGTTATGTGAACCGAATGGGCTGAATGGGCTTCCGCAGTGTAGGGATTGTATGAACTCACTACTACATCTCTTCCATATATGCTCACCTTGAAGAAGTTCTGCTCCGCTCTCTGACAGGATTTCCGTTCTAATCTTTTTTCTTGTTTACCATCATTACTTTCATTGTCACTCCTAGTGTTTGACAAGGTATTTGCCAAAACTTGTTTCTACAGCCACAATTCTGAAGTAGGGTCATTGGACTTGAAACATTAACTCTGTTTTCTCTCCAGAGATCTGTTTCAGATTTCCAGCATTGACAGTTCTTTGTTTTATTTTAATGTTTCTCATCTACATCTGAAATTTGGTCACAAGGTCTTCCATAATTCTGGAACTGCCAGCAATTTGATTTTGTTGACAGGGAATCAAAGAAATTGTTAGAAGTTGCCCCATTCTGTTTTCTGAATCTGTACCCTTGGCTATTTCTTATTTGCCTTTTCTCCCTCCAAACCCACAATATCACCATAGAGCTGTGTTGACATGCCTTGTCTGTGTATGAATGTGAGTTTTTGGGATTGAAGGGATATAGTTTAATTCTGTACAGAAGCTTAGTGGATAGCAAGTTTCAGCACTTGTTTGAAGAATAAGTTTATTTTTAATAAATGAGTGAAGTGTGTTAATTGAAGAAACCTGGCAAAAGTTTCTTTTGTCCTAGGCAACAGGAGTAAAGAGAAACAAATTCACAATTTTGGTGATCAAATAAGACATTTAGACTTTTGGTATGGTTTGCGGAGCAGTGGGGCTTGATTGCTAATGCACTTCTCCTCTCAGAATCGTAACAAAAGCTTCCAGTTTCCTGTTTTAGTGAAGACAGCTTATACTTTATACGACAATTGCCTCTGTGAACTGCTCTTACAAAAATCCTGACTCAAGTCCACTCCTACTCCTTTTAAAAATGGCAAATATTATATTCAGGGAATTACAATTTTTAGCCACTTCTACCATTTTCGTCATGACAAAGAGGTTCTCTGGCAAAGTGAAAGTCTAGACCCTAGTGTCTAGGTGATGCCAAGAATTAGTTTGGGGTAACTAATGATACTTAGAGTCATAGAGTCATACAGTATGAAAACAGACCCTTCGGTCCAACCAGTCCATGCCGACCATAATCTCAAACTAAACTAATCCCACCTGCCCGTGCTTGGCCCATATCCTTCCAAACATTTCTTCTTCATGTACTTACCTAAATGTTTTTTAAACATTGTAACTGTATCTGCATCCACCACTTCTTCCGGAAGTTCATTTCACACATCAACCACTCTCAGTCTAAAAAAGTTGCCTCTCATGTCTTTTTTAAATCTTTCTCCTCTCACCTTAAAAATATGCCTCCTAGTCTTGAGATCCCTACCCTAGGGAAAAGACACAACATGCATTCGCCTTATCTATACCACTGATGATTTTGTAAACCTCTATAAGGTCACTTCTCAAACTCTTACACTGGTGAAAAAAAGCTCCCAACCTATCCAGCCTCTCCCTATAACTCAAACCCTCCATTCCTGGCAACATTCTTGTAATCTCTTCTGAACCCTCTCCAGCTAAATAATATCCTTCCCATCACAGGGAGACCAAAAGTGGACACAGTACTCTAGAAGAGGTCTCACAAACATCCTGTAAAACATCAACACAACATAACGTACCAACTCCCATACTCAAAGGTCTGAGCAATGAAGACAAGCATGCTAAACACCTTTTTAAAAGAGAGACAAACTTGAAAGAATTATATACCTGAACCCTAGGTCTCTCTGTTCTACAAAACTACCCAAGGCCTACTTTTAATTGTATAAGTATTGCCTTTGTTTTACCAAAATGCAATATCTCGCATTTATCCGAACTAAACTCCATCTGCCACTCTTCAGCCCATTGACCCAACTGATCAAGATCCCTTTGTAATCTTAGATAACTTTCTTCACTGTCCACTATAACACCAATCTTGATGTCATCTGCAAACTTACTAACATGCTTTCTATATTGTCATCTAAATCATTAACATAAATGACAAACAAAAGTGGACCCGGTACCGATCCCTGTGCAACACTGCTGGTCACAGGCCTCCACCGTAATTCTGTGTCCTGCCATTAAGCTATCTAATTGGCAACTCACCCTGAATCCAATGTGATCTAACTTTATTAATTAGTCTACCAAGTGGAACTTTGTCAAAGGCTTTACTAAAGTCCAAGTAAACAATGTCTAATGTTCTGCCTTCATCAATCTTCTTGGTTACTTCCTCAAAAACTCAATCAAGTTTGTGAGACACGATTTCCCTCACACTAAACCATGCTAAAATAACTTGAAGCTTCTACCTTGAATGTTACTGTGTTGATTATTTGTTTTTGAAAATCGTTAACTTACAAGTCATTTTTAACCAGAATGATTTTGAACTATTTCAGTGTTAAGCATGGTAACACATCTTTTTAAATCTATTCCATAGTGCAATAGAAGTCACAGCAGGTAAATAAATATGAACAAATGTTGCCTTAAAAAATTGTGTGAGAAACTAGTAATTGCTCAAATCTGAATACAGCATAATAATATAATTGTACATACAAGGTCTCAATGCTTGTTTTAGGCCTGTGCTCAGGATATACCGACAGTGTGTTACACCTCATTGAGGGTACTGCTCTGGAAGGCAAGCTTTGTTATTCCTGGAGTCATCACAAGAGTTAAAGATTTCATAGAAGAACACAATATTCCCCAGTTTACTTGTCTTTTAGACCCAGGTTGACCGAATACATGGATCAGATTTTTATACTTAACAATGATGACTATTTATTACAAATAAATAGGGTCTAACTATAGATAAACCATATGAACCATTGATATGTAACTCTACTCATTAAAGCGCTAGCTCCTTTATAGACTTCTGCTTTATACTCACATATAGGCTGACACAGATAGGAAAAAGAGACATGTGTGGACGGATACAGCCAAAAACTGGGAAGACCGTTCATGGTCCCTTTCCATAGATTTGCGCTGGTCAGAATAATGGTGCCTCTCAATCCTCCTTCTCCAGAAGTTGTTTGTAGAAGGCACAGGGTAACTGGTTCCAACTTATAAAGGTCTTTGACTTATCAATAAAAAGTCACAACCTACAGCAACCAGAAAGGGAAAATAAACTGGGCATCTTCATGCTTTTTACTGTAAAGCAAAAACAGTTCCTTCTTCTCCAGAACTCTGATGGTTTCTGCCAAAAGATTCATATTCGCATGTTGCTCAGCTACCTGAAAACCAATTGTACTAATGTTGGAAGGCAGAAAGACTTTGTCATTGATAACTAATCACTAGTTCACAGACCAATCAATTACCTTTTTGCCTGCTAAATGTCCTTCCATACACAACCCAACTCCAATTTATCCTCAAACTTGGCTCTAATTTGCCTGCAAACCAGTACAGCTGTGTAAACAGCACTTACATTGAGTACAGGTTACTTTGCTTTTAAAAAGTGCAGCAACCATTAAAACAGTTCTTTTCTATTTCAGTCCACAAACAAAAATATAAAAAGCTAAAAATATATAGTTCTTACAAGTGCCGGATCCTACATGGTGTCCGATCTGTTTCTGTCACTATTCAATTGCACACTCAATGTTAAATATTTGATATATTTTGTTTAATCTTCTGAGAATCATGTACACAACAGGAACTGCTTGGTTATATGGAGTTAAGTATAATATACTTTATCATTCTCACCAATGGGTCAGAAATTTTTGAAGCCTGAATAATTACATGCAAATTTACAGTCTTCCTTCGTACTGAAAGAACAAAATTATTCATGCAGAAAGTACCACAACTGAAGTAAACCATAACACTGAAACACTGAACTTCTGTTGTAATATTGTGCGATGCTGATAGAACCTGCTGGAAGATTGCAGATACTCTATTTGACCCAGGTAAATCTAAAAGTGGGCTTGTACCTTCCCACGCCAGTAAGATGCTTTCTAGTGACCCCTGTTAATTTGGAGTGGTTAGCACTGGAGAATATCGATGTAACATAACTAATTGGTCTCTGACACGAACCACGTGCTCATTTCAATCTGGTTTCCATCAGAGCTGGATCCATGCCAGATTCATGTAAAACTGCAGCATTTTTGCTTTAGACATAGAAAGGGTAATTTTTCACAAATAATCAAATGTGCAAATGCTTTTCAACATTGATCATGGTTTCCACTTACTGAATATGCTTGAGATTATACTTTATAATGCGATCATATACTGAGAAAATTTGAAAAAAAATCTTACACGCGTACAATGATGAAACATCTAATAAAATGTGAAGTACCCGGCATTTTATCTTTCAGCTAAAACAGTCTTACAGCAACATGCTCGATAATTAGCTGAGATTGTAAATATGATACCTTTTCTGTGATTCCTCAAGATGTGCTTCTTCTACCTTAAGATCGTTTTTTGCTAGGAATAAAACAAAAACAGGTGTTACTATGCAACTGCAAAAACAAATACCTTACTGTCATAGTGACAGTGCCATAAAGATGCAGCTTTATTAAAGTTTTATTCTTGAGTTAGGGCTGTAGTGTGTTTTGTACTTTTGAGACAATAAATTGGGAAATAAAACAGGGATCTATTAATTAGCAGCAATAATGCCAAAAGACATGAAGTAACCATTAAGACATCATACATAAACATTAGCTAGATAGCTAGAACCAGCATCAATGACATTATAAGATGAAGATTATTTGACATTAAAAAGCAGATTTCAAGGCAGATGTCAATGCTCAGATAACTTGTTGTCCACCACTCCAACTTTGCTCTTGAGGTTTACTGCATCAACTGGAAACCTTGACCAGATCATTTCTTAAAATCACACTCAGGAAGTTATACCATACGGTTTACCATACAGTTATTATTCAGTGGCTTCAAATTTTTTAAACAGCATTTGCATGGCTGTGATGCTTGAACTAAACAGTGGTGCTTTAACAAAAGATTTATTTCATAAGATTACAAAATTGTCACAGTGCCGAAAGAAGCCATTTGGCCCATTGTGTTTGCACTGGCCTTCTGAGTGTTTTAACAGAGTGCCCTTTTCCCGTAACCCTGTACATTGTCTCCATTTAAATAAACATCCAATAGCGTCTTGATTGCGTCAGTTAAACCTGCCTCCATTACACTTTCAGGCACTCACTCCAGACCTTAACTGTTTGCTGTGTGAAAAAGTTTTATCTCACCTAACATTTACTTTCTTGCAAAGCACATTAAAACGGTGTCCTGTGGTTCTCAATCCTTTAACCAGTGGAAACAGTTTCTCGCCATCTACTCATGATTTTGAAAACTTCAATAAAATCTCCTCGTCGCCTTACTCTCCAAGGAAAACAGTCCCAACCTCTGTAATCTTTCCTCATTACTGAAGAGTTTCATGAACGTCAGCTGGAATATTGTGTACAGTTCTGGGCGCCACACTGTTGGAGGGATGTGAGAGCATGGAGACAGTGTAGCAGAGGTTCTTACATAAGTTGTCAAATATAAGTTCATCATAACCTCCCTGTTCTTGTGTGCTATGCCACAATTAATAAAGCCTAGAATACTGTATGCTTTATTTATGACTCTCAACTTGTAATGCCACCTTTTACGACTTATTTGTGTGTACACCCCGGTTTCTCTGCTCCTCAAAATACTTTATTTTATATTATCTTTCCATGTTCCTTGTACGAAAATGCACCACCTCATGCTTGTCCACATTGAACTTCATCTACTGCTTATCTGTTCACTCCACAAACTTTCCAAAGTCCTTTGAAATTTCTACACTGTGCTGCATACAGTTTTAAATTCTCCCAAGATTTGTGCCATCCACAAACTTTGACATCGTGCCCAGATACATCAGGAAAAGTAAGGGTGTTAATACCAACCCCAAGGGAACTCCACTACAAACCTGCTTCCATCCCAAAAAATACCCATTAACCATTAGTCTCTGTTGCTATTACTCAAAAATTTTACTGTTGCACCATCCCTTTTAATTCATGCCCTGTTCTTTCCTTGAAATCCTGATGTCTGGCACTGTATCAAATGCCTTTTTGAAATTCTTGGACATCGCATCAACAGCCATTCCCTCATCAACCTTCTTCATTACCTCTCTAAAGAACTCCAGCAATTTAATTTGAAATAATTTTCCTTAACAAATCCATGTTGACTCTTCCGAATTCACCCACATTTTTCCATGTAAGTGTTAATTCTATCCTGAATAATTGATTCCAGAAGACTTCCCACCTCTGAAGTTAAACTGTCTGGTAGGTAATTTCTGGGCCTATATTAGCAACATCTTAAATGCACAGGAGAAATGCACTATTTCTCTATCACAGAAAGAAGGCCACAAAAGCAACGGTACTCTGGTGATAAGGTAACTGAAGCACTGGCAGCAATGCTCTGCCATGGTTAGCAGTCATAGATATATTAATAAGGTTTTAGCCCCGTAATATGTTCTCAGCAGTTTAGCAGCACAGAATGTGCTCAGGTCTTTAGAGCAAATAATACGTTTTTCCAGGATCTACTCCAGTTTACGCTTCATGTAATCCAGTTATGCTGATAATGCTGCCCTGATGCCTGAGGAAATTAAAGGCCATGATAATTATCCTCATAATTATCTACAATGTTTTGGTAATGTCAGTTAATGTAAAACCACAGGGAGGTTAGTGATGGTGCTATATTAGAGAAGATTGAAATGCTCAAGGAAAGCTGAGGAAGATTACAACAATTAAACTACTTACAAACCAGTAATGAGGGAGTTTGATATATTACTGTTTGATAGAAAGGGTCACATTAAACTGTTAAATGAGGCAGTCTTTCCAATAAAAAATGCAAATGCAAGTCTGTAATAGTTTAAGTCTTTAATTTTCATTTAGGCAGTGACATTTATAGAATTGAATCAAATTAATGAATGGTTGAATTTCTACTCTTTCCCATAGTGTGGAGATGCTGGTATTGGATTGGGGTGGACAAAGTCAAAAGTCACATGATACCAGGTTATCCTCCAATGGATTTTATTTAAAATTACAAGCTTTCGAAGTGCTGCTCCTTCATCAGGTGAACCCTTTGTTAAGGTATAAATTACCTTGTAATATTGTAAAATAAATATTGAGCTTTAACTTCATTCCTGGATGAACATCTAAGAAAATAAACCTGGGTAAGTGCAGTAAAGAACTTTTACTCTACTTTTAAATTAATCAGATCTAAAACTGGTTACTCTATTCCATTATCATTTCCTTCTAGGCATTTGTAGGTTGGGGTGGGTCCAGAGTCTTTGGTGGTTTGGCAGTGCCACCATTGGAAAAATCAATAGCCCCATCTATCAATTTTTTAAAAAAAATTTGGTGCAAGAGCTTTGATCTCACCCTTGCTTAATGGCAGCACACTTGCAACTAAGAAACATAAAGGTAAAGTCACCATGGGACTGCTCTGTCATTAGAGAGAGATGACTGGTGATGGTTTAACCTGAGGGTAACCACATCTCAGGTTGGGGGTGGGGGTAAGGTTGTCAAAGAGATTCCTTCGTGGTAACCTCAACTGGTGTGGAAATTGAATGCATGTTGTTGGCATCACTGCATTGCAGACCAGGTGTCCAGCCAACTCAGCTAACCAACCCTACCTTAGCTAAGAATAAATGAAAATCCCTGCACTCTAGACAGGATCTTCAACTTAGTACCGGGAGACTGTTTTTGAGGACATTTTTCAAGATTATGATTCTACGTTCCCCGAGCAAGCTGACCGTATCCAGTTTTACCTCACCATCAGCTCATCCAACACTTCCAATGCTTCTAACAGAAAGGGAGCCTGTTGACGGAATCTACTTGGATTTTCAGAAGGCATTTGAAAAGGTTAATACACAAAGCAGGAGCTCATACTATAATGGGTAACACACTAGCATGGATGGCTGGCTGAAAACAGAGACTTTTCATGAACAGGTCATTTTCAGATTGACAGTATGTGACAAGTGGGGTCCCGCAAGCATCTCTGCTGGGCCCTCAACATTTTGCAATTTATATCAAAAACTTAGATGAGAGAATGAAGGCATAGTGACTAAATATGGAGATGACATGAGGACATATAGTAAAGTGTGTTGTGAAAATGATCAGACACAAACCAATAACAAACAGATTAAGTTTATGGGTAAAAAATCTGTCAGATGGAGTATAATGTGGGAAAATGTGAAGTTGTTCACTTTAACATTACAAATACAAAAGCAGAGTATTACTTAGTGGAGAATGACTACATGATTTCAGGGTGTAGAGCGAGATAGGAGTTCTTGCACATGAGTCACAAAAGGTTGGTATGCAGGTCAATTGTGTAATCAGGAAGGCTAATTGAATGCTAGAGAATTTACAAGAGTAGGAGGCACATTTTTAAGGTGAGAGGAGAAAGATTTAAAAAAGACATAAGAAGCAAAGCTTTTATACAGAGGGTGGTTCACGTGTGGAATGAACTTCCTGGGAAGTGGTGGGTGTGGGTGCAATTGAAATATTTAGAAGTCATTTGGATAGATATATGAATAGGAAAGATTTGAAGGGATATGGGCCAGGAGCAGGCAGGTGAGACTGGTTTAGTTTGGATTATGTTCAACATGGACCAGTTGGACTGAAAGGTCTGTTTCTGTGCTGTATGACTGTATGACTCTAAGAGGAATTGGACGTGTAAGGATCAAAAACAGAAATTGCTCGAGCAACTCAGCAGATCTGGCAGCATGTGTGGACAGAAAGCATAGTCAATGTTTCGGGTCCTGTACTCTTCTTCAGAACTTTTTGTAATACATAAAAGTGAGGATGTTACGCTTTGGTTACACATAGCATTTGTGAGACCACATTCTTGAATACTGTGTACAGTTCTGGTCTCCTTATTTAAGGATGTAAATGCATTGGAGGTTGTTCAGAGGATGGTTATTAGATTGATACTTGGAATGAATGAGTTGAATAATGAGGAAAGATAGGGCAGGTTGGGCTTTCTTTTACCAGATTCCAGAAAAGTGAAGTGTTATTTGATTGAAGTTTTCTATGATCCTGAATGGTCTTGACAATGTGGAGAGGAAATAATATTTGTTGTTGTGGGTGAGTTCAGATCTAGGCGATATTACTTTTGGGGTTACTATTATATGACAGAGATGAGGGAATATATTTTCTCTCAGAATGTTGTGTGCTTTGGAATTCCATGCGTCAGCAGGCAGTGAAGACTAATTGAATAGGTTTAAGGTAGATGCAGATAGATTAATGTTAGGCCAGGCTATCAAAGATCATGGCGGGTAGATTGAAATGTGGAATTTGAAGCACAAATCGAACAGCCATGATCTTACAGAATGGCAAAGCAGTCTTATATGAGTTCATCATAAACACCCTACCTCTTGTATTCTGTGCCACATTTAATAAAGCCTAGAATACTATAAGCTGTATCTACAACTCTCAACCTGTCCTGCC